TTCACTTGTGACAATCGTGGTTAGCAAATGTGTGGAGATCCACCCTCCCCACCCCCACCCCAAGCAATTCTCTGGGACACCAGCTAGGTGTCATACATGTCAATGCAATTCTGACACTCTCTGCCTGGAGACAGCATCATATTTCACAGATGAAGGGCTCAGTGTCATAGGCTGCCCCTCCTGCCTTCAACACAGATGCCAATTGGAGCTCCAGGTCGTTACCTGCGATTCTGACGGACCAGTCGGCTGTAGATTGGAGGTTTCAACAACCCCCTCTTTGGGTTCAATTAATTTGCTAGATCAGTTCACAGATCTTCAGTTTATTAAAGGATGTGATAATGCAGATGGACAGTCAGATGAAGACATACATAGGGTCAGGTCTGGGAGGGTCCTGAGCAGAGGAGCTTCCATTCCTGTGGAATTGGAGTGCATCACCCTCCAGGTGTGGATGTGTTCACTCTCCTGGAAATCTTCGAATCCCAACTTTTGGCATTTTATAATGGCTTCCTCACGTAGGCATGACCAGGATGTAACTGCATTTCCAGCTCCTCCTCCTCTCTGGAGTGTGGGGGTGGGGCTGAATATCCCAAGCTTCTAATCATGGCGTGGTCTGTCTGCTGACCAGTCCCCATCCAGGAGCTCACCCAGAGTTGCCTCAAGAGAACAAAACATGCTCCTAGCACCCTCATCACTTAGGAAATCGTAAGGGTTTAGAAACTCTGTGCCAGGAATCAGGGGCAGATATATATATATATATATATATATATATATATATATGTATGTATTTCGTTATCTCATAGTTCTACAGATGTCAGTTAGGTTATCTGCATTGATTTATTAATTTCATTGTTAGAGTCTTTTACATAGTCCTTTCCTTTCTAATTGTTCTATGTATTGTTGAGAAAGGGGGCATGGGAATCTCTGAACATAAGTGAGGGTTGTTTTTATTCTCATTGCTTCCTGGTCAGTTTTTTCAGGGGTTTGGAAGTTCTGCAGCTCATGGCATGTTCATGATGGTCATGTCCTTGTGATAAGTTTACCCCTTCACGATTGTGAAATAAATTTTATTATCTCTGGTCATAGTATTTGTTCTCTATTCTATTTTTATCTTAATATAAATATTATTTGTTTGTTTGTTTTAGCTGAGCTATGCTGCCACCTGTTGGCAGCTCAGTGGCAGCTCAACTCGGGCCGGGAATCGAACTGGCAACCCTGTTGCTCAGAGCTCGCACTCTTGAGGGAACTCTTAACCAACTGAGCCACTTGGCTGGCCCTAAGTACTGTATTTTGAATAGTGAGCATATGGTTTACTCTTTATTTCAACTTTTATTTTGCATCCTTTTTTTGTAATTTTTTTCTTGTTTGGATTTTTTCTTTGGTACTTTTAAAAATGTAACATATCATTGAATGACATATTTTCCTGAGAGTGTTTATCACTCAGTAATTATAATTTCCACTCATGATGAGGACCTAGAATGGTTTACACCCACCACCCACCTACCACCTCTACCAAAAATCGTATTGTTGCATGTAAAGTTTTCATTTCTCCTTTTTTTTATAACACATTTTTGGTATTCAATTTGATTTAATTTTTTTTACCTTATCTTATTATTCCCACCTCAACCCTCAATTTTGGCAACCGTCAGCTTGTTCTCCATACGTTTGGGTCTGTCCATATTTTGTTTTATTTATTCTTGCTAGCTGTGTTGACTCCCTCTTTATAAAAAAAAGCCTTCTTCTGTCTGACTTGTTAGTGTAGGTGATGTACTCAGAGCATTATATCTGTATTTGTAGCAAAGACTTTAATTCACCAGGTCAAACTAGTTCCTGTGTTGTTTAAATTTTTGAAGTCTTCAATAATTTTGACATCTTTACTAATGAAAATTTTCTATCTATTTTATAATGATTTTACAGGGAGACATATGCCACATTTTTGCATTGATTGAGAAAACTCTTTTTCTTTCTGTGAACATGTTCATTTTCCTTCCTTGTAAATTTTATAAACAGCAAAACTCTCCATAAAAAAGATGAATTCTTGACTTTCACTATTATGATAGGCTTTGCTTCAATGATTCTGAGTTTAATGAAGAGTCCACCAGCCCTGAATTTATTTGATTGTGAACATGGGAGTCCTAGTTGAAATGTTTCATGCCAACATGGCTGGTTGGCACAATATTCCATAATACTATATAATCTTCATAATCTATCTTCAAAAGATCCCAAAATCTATTCCCAACAGACTGTTTTTTTTAAACCATGTTCAAGAAACAAATTCATGAAATGATTTGATGAAAATATTGTATCAAACTTTTAATTATCAGGGTACACCATAGAGATTAAAACTGATGGTGCGTGTTATAAGTATAATCAAGTAAAATCTATCAAAAAGTTTCCAGTTTTCACAACTGGAAAGAATTCTTGCTAGTATCAAAAACGACTTTTACAATAAAGATGGGAAAGTTTTGATCCATTCTTCATTAAAACCAAATATCAAGTTATACATATTAGAGAAAAGCTTTACAAATATAATGAACTTGGAACGTCTTTATGCAGGATGAATCTTCACTAATCATTAGAAATTCATACCGGAGAGATCTTAAAATATAATGAACTGGGCTACATAGTAAGCCGAGAGTAAAGCATTACTAAGCATCAGTAAATATACATCTAAGCGAAATCTTAAAAATATAAAGTGGGTGCGAAAGATCTTACCTAAAATAAAGGCAATGAACAACAATAGTAACCAATGAGAGCGAGTCGGAGGAGAGCCCCGCCCCACCCAAGCTGTGGCCCCACCCCTTCCCCTGGGTCCCTCCCTCTGGCGGGCCCCGCCTACTCCGGGAAACTATTCCTGCCCCGCCCAGGACTTTAGCGCTCCTCACAGGCCCCTCCTGCGACGCACGTTTTTTGGCAGCGTCAGGGCGGAGTTTCTTGCAGACCCGGAAGCGGCAAAGACAGAGAGAAGGCCTGGTTGGCGACTGTGACTTTCAGTTTTTGTGGTTTAAATCTGAGCGTCTCAGTTCACCGTCCTACACTCCTGACGACTGGGACTCACTACCGACGTTGAAGTCCCCACACCCGTGCCCCCTACAGCGGTGAGTCTGGCGTCCTGGGGAGACGTCCCGATCCCAGGCCGCTTCGCTGCCGGGTGGACGGTCCGCGTGGGTTTCCGGGTAAACTGAGGCCGTTCCCCCTGTGGCCTCTCGGCCTTCTGGTCACTAGACCCGCCTGCCGCGTTGTTTTCCTGCTTAACCCCCCCCCACCCCCACCGAGCAGCGCTCCGCCGCGCGGTGTGAAGTCCTGGGAGACGGAGTCCAGCTGTTGGCGCCCCTCCCCTAGCCTCGCCCCTGGAGCCCGGCCTCCTCCCTGCCTGGGGTTCTGCAGACCCTCTCCGCCGCCTGGAGACTACCGTCGCCCCAGTTTAATAAAGACCCGAAACTCAGGAAGAGCACACTTTTCAGGGGGAGTGGGGTGGGATTCAGGAGGGAACACCGCGGGGTGACACCAGGTCACCCCCTCACGCCGGGAGGGTCTTTGTGTAAGCGGTGACTGTGAAGGGCAGGCCAGGAAATCGGCATAACTGGGGTCTGAGGGGGTCACGAGGAGGAGATGTAATGAGAGAGGAATAGACAGCTGAGGGCAGGAAGATCAGTGCGGGGTCCCTAAAGAGCCGGCGAAACAGAGGATGTGGGAGGGACTCGTAAAGCGATGGTTAAGACAACGAGTAACTCGGGGTATAAGTAGCCAGAGGAGAAAGAAAATGGAGAAATATAGAGGGAAGGGAGTGTTCGAGAGAGATGAAGGGGAGCTAAATGGGAGAAGGGCCCCTGGTTAGCAGAAGTGGGGGGGCAACAAAGGACAGGAAATTTCAGACGGAGAGAGGGGTTAGGAGAAGAGCTGGGGGAGCCGAATGCGGGAACAGAAAGGAGGGGAGGGTGGTGACAGCAGAGGGAGAAGCTGCACTGAGCTAAGCTGGGGGTGTCAGTGAGTCGGGGCACAGGGGTGTAACAAGAAAGAGTGTCACGGGGGAAGAGGAGGTGCACAGGGACTGGGAGAAAGGCAGAAATATGTGGAGATGGGGAGCAATCATATAGCTCAGGGAGAAAGAGCAACTGAAGGTGAACGCTTTCAAGAGTTTCACAGAAAAGGTGCAGGGAAGGGAACGGAGAGAAGGGGAGAATCAGGAGAAGGGCGAGGACATTTGTGGAGAGAACCTGGGTGGAGAGGGACACACAGGAGTACATAGTAGCAGAGGAAGAAGGGGAGCCCCCACCTGGATGCTCTGTGAGCTGGTGGGATGTGGGTGATCAAGGCATGATATATTGATTGTGGCTTTATAATCGCTTTAATTGAACACGTGCTGCACTTTCAGTCACACAGATGAGAATGAGAATTACAAAACTCCAGTTTCTAGTGCTTGTGTGCTTAATAATTTCATCACCCAATGGCTTCCATGTGCAACCCTCATGCAGCCAGAGGTCAGAGGCCTGTATCAGTCAGTCTGGGTTCCTTCTTTTTTCCTGGGATGGCATGAGGAATGTGACCTGGGACAAGAAATGACTGAGTCTGTCAACACAGGATGCTTTCTCAAGAAATATTAAAACCATTGTGTCTCTTTTTCTTAGAGTTTACATTTTCTTTCTCCCTCTCTTACATTTGATTCATTTTTATTTATTTATTTATTTTTAATTGGGGAGTTGGGGGAGGGGACCAGCCAAGTTGTTCTTCAATCTTAGTTGTTGAAGGCGTCAGTTACCATCTGGTTCCCGACAGCAATGTGTGCCCTCTAAGCTCAAGGTGCTGTGTTCAACCTTAGTTGCGGGTGGGCATAGCCATCATCCCATGCTGGAGTCTAACCAGCAGCCTTGCTGTTAAGAGCAGGCGCTCTATCCACTGAACCATCTGGGCTCAAGGTGCCAAGTTTCGTCTTAGTTGCGGGCGGGCATAGCCACCCCATCGAACAGGCAGTCTTGTTAGGAGCAGGCACTCTCACCAGCTGAGCCATCCTGCCACCTGTTGGCAGTCAAGGGCAGCTCAGCTCAGGCGCAGCTCACTGGCCCGTGTGGGACTCAAACCAGCGATCTTGTTGCTCAAGAGCTCGCGCTCTTAACCAAACTCTTAACCCACTGAGCCACTCGGCCAGCCCTGATTCATTATTTTTATAAAAAGCAAATCAAGGTAAATGTTAGTCTGCTGAATTTCTGCTTTTCTTTGTAACTAGTCATTAATTTCTGAAATAAGCTTTGGTGACATCTCATTACCAGCTCTTGTTCTTTTCTAAATATGGGGTAGTCTCAATTTAAAAAAAATTTTGACCCTAGAAATAATTACAGTAAATAACATCTTGAATCGATTTCCCTTCTGATAACATTGTGTCTAGTTTAGATGGGAAGCCCTGCATTCTTTCTACTCTTTATCATGTTGAAACATCCATTGGTACTTATTAATAATATTAGGCCACTTCGGTGTGCATTTGGTGAGGATGTCCACTTGAGAACCTAGTGTGGTGAGTTATTTTGATATTCAGCAGCTTTTGTCTTCAATTTACATGATTTGTTAAATTAGTGAGCTGGGAGCTACCAAGTAGCTGTCTCCTCAAGTCCCACTTGTTCATTCTCTGAAAATGTGGAAGGATGGACCGGACAGACCTGAAATTCAGTTCCCACAGAGCCAGTCTATTCAGTGTGAAATAATTGGATCAATGTATTTCCATAACTAACTCTTTTTTACAAGTTTTCAGCACCAAAATGTGGGTTTATTATTTTATGGTTTTTAACTAATTCTCTGTGATTTCCTGGAAAACAGGAAGGAAATACACCCAGAGAGCCAGCCCTTCTAGAAGTTCCCACACCAAACCCCCATACACCAGAGCTCTCAGGAGTGCAGAATCTCAGATGGAGTGGGCTCTGTAGCCCAGTGTGACAGGAAGCAGGTCTGGGGAGCGGGTCAGCACCCCAAGGGAGACTTAAAGATGCCATTTTCTGGGCCCCCTGCAGACACATAACTCCTTAGAGTGAGCCCTGATCCCTCGGGGACCTGCATGCTCATTGAAGCTAAAAGTTTCCATCCAGGTCCTCCTAGGTCACTGGGAATTTCAGAGTGATGTCACCTGTCCCCTTCCCCTGGGAGCTGGATAAGTGGTCTGGGTGGAGCATTATTCTTTTAATGAGGTGTTCAGGTGAGGCCAGGGGTTAGCTAGGGGCTCCTAGACACAGTTCTGACTGTTGAGAGGAACCTTTGCTCAAGGAGAGGTAATGGGGTGCTCTGTTGCATTTGTGGGGGCAGGAGAGCATCTCATGTTCTCATTGCGGTAGGAATTTGTGGACGTCTGTGGAAGGGGAGAGCATGTGAATCAGGAAAGAGAAAACAGAGCTTCACTTAGGAACTTCTTCTCCCTGACTGTCCTGTGACAAAGGACAGGAAAGGGCAACAACTTTCTCAGCATTTCCAGATCCTTCTGCCTGTCAGTTTGGAGGAAGTAGATGAAGGACCTGAGCTGAAGCCCTTGTGGGCACATTTTCAAGATGCAGATGTGATTCCTTCCCAGAACTTTGCCTGAGGAAACAACCCAGAGCTGGAGGAGGATGAGGACAAAATGGCTGCTTCTCAGGTAAGCATTCCGTCCTGGGTCACAGGCTGTGTCTGCTTTTCCTCCTAAAATCTGTGGGTTTAGAACCTGCCACCTTTAATTCTCTACTTCTGACATTCCTGCCTAGCGAGTTTGTTTTCACCTACTTACTTTTCCTCTTCTTCTCATGAGAGTCAAGGTCAGCTCTGTAGAACACTTTGCCTTTCTCCCAGAGCCTTCTCTGCATTCTGTCCATCCAGCCTCCCTCAGGACGTCCGTGATTTCTGACCCTCAACTACTGATAAAACCCACCTGGAAAGGGGTTTGTGTCCAAAGCCCCTATTGGTCAGGGTCAGGGTCGGATGCCTGGTGTCCTGAAGAAGGGAGGTTATAGGTGTGTGTCCTGTGACTGCAGCGTCATGGCTGTAGAATGGGGGTAAGAATATGCACCAGGACCCAGGATGGCCTCAGTGCACAGAATGGCTTGGAATGTTAGGGGAAAAAAAAGAATTATTGGAACTATCTTGCTCACTAGATTGGTGATACTGACTTGCTGTTTAAATGCACTATTAGAGTTACAAAACTCAGGAGCTATATGTGCATTCAAACTTGTATAAAACTAATACTTTTATGATCAGATTCAGATTACGATTTCCTTAGTTCATTTTTGCCAGTAACATGACAGCAGTGACACTGTGTCCTTCCGTGTACCTCGGCCAGCTGACACCCATTTGTTCCACCTGACTTTTACCTGGTTGAGATCCTGTCTTCACTATAAAGTTAACATTGTTTTCTTTATCATTAATAACAGTCTGGAGGGATTTGTAGAAAGAACCATCACATTTCATCTGGAAACTCCCTTTTCTTCTTAGTTTCTCTGCTTTGATAAATGAAGGCCCTTAGCTTTTCTTTACTAGAGATAATTGGCGTTGGAATGGAGGCTTTAATGAGTAAGGCCTTGTCCCTGTAAATTTTCATTATATTCCACATTCGTGTCACAGACATTCTCTACGTCATCACTTTTTGTGTTTTTAAGAAAGTTTACAGCAATCAGGTTATTAAAGTTTTTAAGTGGGGTAAATTTGTAATGTATTATTCAGCACAAATGACACAAAATTTTTTCAAAGAAACAGCAGCAATAACTTATGTTACTGTGTGGTCTCCCTATTGTATTTATAAACTACAGAGTGTCACCCAAAAGATATTTATGAGATGTAAAATATTGAAAATAATTGTTATTTCAGTGACGTGAAAATTTCCTTCTCTGTCATTTTTAATATGCATACAGTTCCCATTGTCTGTGTCTGTGTCAATAAAATCTTTACACTATTCGATCTCTTCTTTTTTCTTACTTGCTTAAGTTGTTTCTGTTTTTCTCAGTTACAGAAATAGCCATGTAGGTTCATGAGAGTTGTCTATGTGTATTGGTTTCTGCAATTTTTTAAACATTCTAGAGAAAGTTTGGAATAAAACCCAAGCTCGGGCTGGCCAAATGGCACGTTGCTTAAGAGTTGGCTTGGGACTCCTGCTCTGAGCAGCAGGGCCCCAACTCTGAACATTAGAGCCAGTGACGCTCCGCCCTCTACAGCTAAGATGGTGAACAACAGCTCGACCCAGAGCTGGGCTGCCGTGAGTCGCTGGTGACGGCATAGGCTGCAGTGAAGCTGCAGTGGGCTGCCATAAGCTACTGTGAGTGGCTGGCAGCTGGCATGAGCTGCCAACTGCAGTGGGCTGCCATAAGCTACTGTGAGTGGCTGGCAGCTGGCATGAGCTGCCAAGAGCCGCCGTGAGCAGCTGTCCAGTGGCTGGCGACCGATCTGCCTCTCCCGGGAAGAGCGCAATGATAACACCAACATGGGCTGGTGAAGCGACATCCTCCACAACTAGACTGAAGAACAAAAGGACAGCAACTTGTCTGTTTCCGTTCCCCGATTCCCCAGCTCTGTTCCCTCCCCCAATTGCCCAGTAAAATCTTTAAAAAAAGAAAAACCCGAGCTCTACCATTTAGTGGATGCATTAGAAAATATTCCCATACAAGAGGACTATGATATTGTTTTCAGTTGATGGGTTATGTGCATTATGAGATTGTGTGCATTATGAATTAAGATGTTAAAAAATGTTAGAATACTGTAGTATACAGTCATTTTCAAAAAGGTTTGTGTTGCTGTGCTTCTATAAGAAGTATAAATTCCATAAAACTCTGTCAGTTCAAAGTCATGTATGAATTTTTGCCTGTTTCCTTCCTCTGTGCTATGGAATAGTGTTACTCGCGGACCAGAGAGATTGGTGTCACTAGTTAAAAGTGAGTTTGTTAAATGTGGAAACTCAAGCTCCACCCCAGAACTCTTCAGTCAGAATCTGCAGTTTCATAACAGTGCAGCTCCTTGTTGTCCACATGAAAATTTGAGAAGTACTTTGCATTTTTAACTCACCATGACATTTCCAGCCAAGGAATGTACATAATGTATTCTGTATGATACAAATATAACACACAAAAAGCCATATGCCTGTGTTGATGCCTGATTTTAAATCTATCATTTAGAAAAAAGATGTACGTCTCTCTACAGTGGTGTGTGGATCATACGTCATTCTCCTTTCTCAGAGTTAGAAAATAACACTCGAGAATATTACTGCCCGTGGCCTTAGTGTTCCATTCCAGACACTCTCCTAGGTCAAAACCAGCTCTCTTAATTCTGTTTTCATACTGAGTGATGTTATGATCTTGTCTTTGGCCACGTGGTAAATGTGTCTTTTGTTTCAGGGACGGTTGACATTCAGGGATGTGGCCATAGATTTCTCTCAGGATGAGTGGGAGTGCCTGCACCCGGCTGAGTGGAAACTGTACATGGACGTGATGTTGGAGAACTACAGGAACCTGCGCTCCCTGGGTGAGGCTGATTTCCTTCCAGAACTCCTACCCCACCCACCACAGGGTTGTGTTTCCTTCATCAGCACAGCGTCTCCTGGGAGCTTCTGCTCTGTGTGGTAGAGTGTCAGATTCTGGCTCTGAGTACCAACTGGGGGTTTGCTGGTGTAGAAAAGAAGTCTTCATGATGTCCTTGAAGTGGAATTCAGGATCTGAAAACGTTCCATGTTGTCTAGTAGAGTAAAGGTGCTGTCAGATAACTGTTTGGGGGGACTCCATTTCTAGAATATTCTGATTTCTGCAGTGTCTTTTCTTTTCACCTGAGCACATAGTGGATAGGAAATTGGAGAATCTCCATCAAAACTCATGTTTCATTTTTGAATAAACAGATCTTGCTGTCTCTAAGCCAGACCTGGTTATCTTTTTGGAGAGAATGAAGGAGGCCTGGGATGTGAAGCAAAAGACAGTATCCACCCTTCCAGGTAGGTGGAAATGAAGGAGCAGATGACCCAGGTGAGAGGGCCAAAAGTCCCTGAGGAAGCCAGACCTTAAGATGTGATTTAGGAAGCTCTGCTTCAGTGGAAAGGATGTGAGAAGTCCAGGTTTCTTTCTGTTGCTGTCACAGAGAAACAGTCCTGTGCAATACATCCTGTGCTGTCACTTCCTCTAGAAACTGTCCTTCTCAGTGATCTGGGTTGCATGACAGCGAGGGCAGATGTCCCTCTGACTGTGGGGCTGCCATGGGCTGGCCACTGTTCCATTGCCTCGGGGGCCCAGGCAAATCTGTTCATGCTGCTGAGGAATTCTCCCTGAGACCATTTTTAAAGTTCTGGTCTTGCTTCTTGTAAGGAGTTTGTGAAGGAAGTGGTGGAGGTCCTGGAATTTGGAGCAGAAATCCCAGGGGCACTGGGGACAGATGTTACACATTTTCTGCTTTATAATTTCTAATGCTAAGGAGGCTTCAAACATGACCCTACAAAGTTCAGACTCAAAATAGTTTCATCTCAGCACAAGGCACCTCCCTAAAGTCAGAAACCCTCAATCTCAGTTTCACTTCAAAATGTCGTTTTGCTTTGTGTGAACTAACATTCGAAATTTTGAGTGTCTACTCCCAATTCCTGCATGTAGCAATAGTTGTAATGTATCTCTTTACCTCACAGAATTCTTTTTTTTTTTTTAAACTCTGTACCCAGTAAGCAGTAACTTCTTCTTCTTTTTTTTTTTAAAGGTTTTTATTGGGGAATTGGGAACAGTGCTGGGCAATTGGGGGAAGGGGAACAGACAAGTTGCTGTCGTTTTGTTCTTCAGTCTAGTTGTGGAGGACGTTGCTTCACTGGCCCAAGTTGGCACCATCATTGCACTCTTCCCAGGCGAGGCAGATCAGTTGCTGGCTTCTGGACAGCCGCTCACTGGCTGCTGGCTACACACGGTAGCCCATGGCAACCCACTGCCACAGGGGCTACAGCCTACGCTGTCGCCGGTGACTCATGGCAGCCCAGCTCCAGGTTGAGCTGTTGTTCAGCATCTTAGCTGTAGAGGGCTGTGTCACTGCCCTCATATGTGGGATCCGAACTGGGGCCCTCTGGCATCCCAAGCCAGTTCTTAACCATCGCACCACTCGGCCGGCCCCTCACAGAATTCTTAAATGAATTAATGCCATAGAGGAGCTTAGAATACAGCTCGCCGCATAGGAAGGTCTCCATTGTTCCCTGATTTCTTAATGACTATCGTGTTATAATTCTGTCTTGTTCACTCCAAAGCTGCCTGGGCCTTCTTTGTTTTCCGTTTCTCATTAGATTTTGTCAGATTAGTGGTTTTAGATTCAGAAGTGCTGATACTCCCTGCTTGAATGAAGTCCGTTGGTAAGAAGTGAGTTGTAGAATTATTAGGTTCCCATATTTCGGAAACTATTTACATCCTCAGTTGCATTTTACTTCAGGCAAAAATAATCATGAGGTTCACCAGCATGTCTCTCAATCATGTTGTACTTTAATCTCAAACATTGTTTTTGTAGATATCTGATTCTCTGATGTTTAATAACTTCTGATGTTACTTTTGTTTAGCAGTGAGGGATTTTGTTTCCCTCTGGATGATGATTACAACCCACACATTTGTGTTAGAATAGCAAAATATATTAATAACAAATTTCTTCCATGTGTGTTTTTTTTTTAAAGATTTTATTGGGGAATTGGGGGAGGAGAACAGAGCTGGGAAATTGGGGAAGGGGAACAGACAAGTTGCTGTCGTTTTTTGTTCTTCGGTCTAGTTGTGGAGGATGTTGCTTCACTGGCCCATGTTGGTATTATCATTGCGCTCTTCCCGGGTAAGGCAGATCAGTTGCCGGCCTCTGGACGGCCGCTCATGGCGGCTCTTGGCAACTCACACCGGCTGCCAGCCGCTCACACTGGCTGCCAGCCACACACGGTAGCTTATGGCAGCCCACTGCCACAGGGGCTGCAGCCTACGCCATCGCCGGCGACTCATGGCAGCCCAGCTCCAGGTCAAGCTGTTGTTCACCATCTTAGCTGTAGAGGGCAGTGTCACGCCCCCATGTGGGATCCGAACCGGGGCCCTGCTGCTCAGAGCTGGCATCCCAAGCCAGCTATTAACCAACATGCCACTCGCTGGCCCTCTTCCATGTGTTATAAATGGTTATTTATTGAAATATTCCTTAAGGCTATTTATGAATGATTCTAATGCTTTGTCTGGGAAAGTTTCCTTTCTTACAACATGTATTCCGATGATTGAGAATGCTTGCTCTTTATGGGGCAACACTGACGGTGAAAACCAAGTTCTACAGAAGGATTCTTCTCAATAGTACATCTGTGTAGTGTTCACAGTTCTGGGATCCTTTGTCTCTTATACTCATTTTGCAATCCCATAATAATGTGTTTTCTTTTTTATGGTAGTTTCTCCAAATTTAGTTACTTGCATTTTTAGTTGTTACTTGTATATATGAATGTGAATGACAGTTTTCAGCTCAGTACACTTAAGACACTGTGGGGTTTGATTCACATATGAATGAGGAATATGTCTATTGGCATTAAAATTATGTGCATATTTGTATCATTTTAGTTCGACTTTGTGCATGACTTATCTTGTGTATGTCTTTTGTTAGTTAGTGGTGAGTGCTTTTCTTATCCTATGCAGTTAAGTAGTTGTAATAGTCTTAATATAACACCTGTTTAGTGAGGATTTTATATTCTCTTTGTGAGAGAACCACTTTTTGAATTCAAAATAATTTCTGAAATGTTTTATAACTGTATGTTTTTTAGATATTATTTTTCATTTTCAATTTTGGTAAAAACGTGACTAAAATTCAACCCTCTCTAACTGTCCAATCCAATTGTGTTAAGGATATTCACATTGTTGGGCAACTGACCTCTGGAAATTTTCATCTTGCAAAACTCACCGAGTACCCATTAAACAACCACTTCCTCATTTCCCTTCAACACAAGCCCATGGCTACTACCCTTTTTTTTGTTCTATGAGGAGGACTGCATTAGGCGACTCACAGAAGTGGATTCATATAGTATCTGTTTTGTGACTCTTTAGCTTTACCTAAAAGTCCTCAAGGTATTTCTGTGTTGTATCAGGATCTGTTTCTACTTCAAGGCTGAATAGGGCCGGCCGAATGGCTCAGTTGGTTAAGAGCTCGCTCAAGAGTTTGAGCTCTGAGCAACAGCGGTTCGAGTCCAGCCTGAGCTGAGCAGCTGCTGAGCTGCCAACAGGTAGCAGGATGGCTCAGCTAAAAAAAAAAAAAAAGGCTGAATAATATTCCGTTGTATGTATATGCTACATTTTCTTCCCCCGTTCATCTATTGATGGCCATCTGGGCTGCTGTTACCCATTACAGGTTTTGTGGATAATGCTACAGTGTGCATGGGTGTGCACATGGCTCTTGCAAAGGCTCCTTTGAAGTCTCTTGGAAATGTATCCAGTGCACCAATTGGGATTTCATCCAAGAGAGCATAATGGTCCAATTTCTCCACATTTTTGCCAACACTTGATATTTTGTGTTTCTTTGATAGTGCTCATCCTAGTTGATGTGAGGTGATACTGTGTTTTTTTTTAACTGTGGATGCAGACATTTATATTCTCATAAGAGCATGTCAAGCTTCTGGAAAGTCATGTGGACCTGAAATCAGATATTTAGGAGAAGCAGGAGCCTGAGGATAATTTTTATATTAAGAGCACTTTTAGTTCATAGCAAACTGAAGTAGAAGTTACTGAGGATTCCCACATGCCCAGCCCACATGCACAGCTTTGTGGGATCACTTTGACCCCCAGAGGTACATTTGTTACATGGATAAAGCTACATTGACATATAATTGTCACCCAGAGTTCATAGTTCTCCTTGGGGTTCACTGAGGGGCTGTGCATTCTGTGGATGTGGACATATTTATGATAACGTGTCATACACAGTAGTGTCACAGCCCTGAATATTGTCTGTGCTCCGCCTGTCCATCTCTCCCTCCCCTCAACCCTGGCCAGCAGTGATCTTTTTACTGTCTCCATCATTTTGCCTTTTCTTGAATGTCATACCTGGAATCATACAGTATGTGCCTTTTTCAGATTGACTTCTTTCACTGAATAGGTATCTGGGTTTCTTCCACATCTTCTCAATGCTTGATAGCTTCTTTCTCTATAGTACTGAATAATATTCCATTGTCTGGATGCACCACAGTTTACTCATCCATGCACCTCTTTTTTTTTTTTTTAAAGATTTTTATTGGGGAATTGGAGGGATGGGAACAGTGCTGGGGAATTGGGGGAAGGGGAACAGACAAATTGCTGTCGTTTTGGTCTTCAGTCTAGTTGTGGAGGACGTTGTTTCACTGGCCCAATTTGGCACCATCATTGTGCTCTTCCCGGGCGAGGCAGATCAGTCGCCAGCTTCTAGACGCCTCTCACTGTGGCTGCTGGCCGCTCACGCTGGCTGCTGGCTGCTGGCTGCTGGCTACATATGGTAGCCTATGGCAACCCACTGCCACAGGGGCTGCAGCCTACGCCGTTGCCGGCGACTCACGGCATCCCAGCTCCAGGTTGAGCTGTGTTCAGCATCTTAGCTGTAGAGGGCAGTGTCACTGGCCCTCATATGTGGGACCCGAACCGGGGCCCTCTGGCGTCCCAAGCCAGTTCTTAACCATCGCGCCACTCGGCCGGCCCATCCATTCACCTCTTGACAGACATCTTGGCTGCTTCCTAGTTTTGGAAATTATGAATAAAGCTGCTGTGAACATGCGTGTGTGGATTACTGGGTGGATACATGTTTTCAAGTCTTTGGGTAACTATTGAGGAGCACAATTGCTTGATTGTATGGTGGGAGGATGTGTAAGAACCACCAAACTGTGTACCCAAGAGGCTGCAGCATTTTGCGTTCCCACCGGCAGTGAGTGTGAGTTTCTGCTGCTCCACGTCCTCACCAGCACTTGATGTTGTCCTTGTTCTGGATTCTGGCCCCTCCTAATAGGTGTGTGGTATTTTTTAATTTGCCGTGTTTCATTCCCGTTGTTTTCATGTGCATTTCCTTGCTGACATGATGTGGAGCATCTTTCTACATATCGTTTTGTCTTCTGTATATCTTGTCTTGTGTGGTGTCTGTTTAGGGATTTGGCCCATGTTTTAATGAGGTTGGCAGTTTTTTCATCGATCAGTTTGAAGACTTCTTTGTGTGTTTTAAATAGTAGACCTTTACAGGTATTTCTTTTTTTTCTTTTTCTTTTTAAAGATTTTATTGGGGAATTGTGGGAGGGGAACAGCTTTGGGGAACCCATAAAGGGAATAGACAAGTTGCTGTCCTTTTGTTCTTCAGTCTAGTTGTGGAGGATGCCGCTTCACTGGCCCATGTTGGTGTTCTGATCATTGCGCTCTTCCTGTCTGAGGCAGATCGGTTGCCAGTCACTGGCCAGCCACTCACGGCAGCTCTTGGCCGCTCACCCTGGCTGCTGGCTGCTCACACCAGCTGCCAGCTACACATGATAGCTCACAGCAGCCCATTGCAGCCCCACTGTAGCCTACGCCATCTCCGGCGACTCACGGCAGCCCAGCTCCAGGTGGAGCTGTTGTTCACCATCTTAGCTATAGAGGGTGCAGCGTCACTGGCCCCATATGGAATCCGAACCAGGGCCCTGCTACTCTTGACACTCCCAAGCCAACTCTTAACCAATGAGCCACTCTGCCAGTCCTGCAGATATTTCTTTTGCAATTATTCCTTCCCAGTCTGTGGCTTCTCGTTTTGTACTCTTGGTGATGACTTCTGTGTTGCTTTTGCTCATTAATAATTGATTTGAAATATGGGCTCACAAAAGTTAATGCTAGTATGTGAAAAAAGAAACTTGGTTAACAGTTTGTCTTGGAAAAACTGTGAAGTGTATGATGTTACATTTATATTTAACAACATTTAAATTCTAATTCCAGTTGTATGTTCATTCCTGGAATAAACTCAGAATGAGTCTCCTGTTGATGAAGATGAGGTTGCGTTAAATGTTCTGACAGTATTATAGGTCAACGCTAATGAAATCTTGGAACTCATTTCTCATTGTGCAGCAACATAGTGGTTTTTTTTCATTATACTAGTAATACATGCTTGTTGGAAAAAGTGAAACAGTAGAAAGAATTATCAAAATTTTTCTTGTGGTCTAAATGGAATCAACTGTTTTATTTTATGCATTTATTTCTATTTTTACAGTATAGGTGGCATACAATATTCGTTTCAGTTTTACAACATGGTGATTTTTTATTTACATATCTTACAAAGTGATCACCATATGACTCAAGTAATATCTGTCACCTTACACGGCATCACAATATCGTTGAGTATATTTCCTAGTCTACATTACATCCCGTGCCTTACTCTTTTCATAACTAGATGTTTATACCTCTGATTCCCCTTCGCGTGTTTTGCCTTTCCCCAAGCCCCTGTCTTCTCTGGCAACCATCAGTTAATTCCTTGTACCTGTGATTCTTTTTCTGATTTGTTTTTTTGTTTCTATTTTTTAGCTGCCTCATATAATTGAAATCATATAGCATTACTGTTTCTCTGTCTGTGTTACCTCACTTAGCATAATATCCTCTAGGTCCATGCTCGATGTTGCCACTGGAAGGATTTCCATTTTTCCTCTGGCTGAGAAATATTCCATTGTGTACATTTATCACATATTTATCCATTGATTGATTGATGGGCATATAATCTTGTCTGTCGTAAATAATGTTGCAGTGGATGTAAGAATACAGATTTTTTTTGAATTAGTGTTTTTGTATTCTCTGGATCAGGGGTCAGCAAACTTGAGAAGGAAGAGCCAATCCTGTCCCTCACAACAATTTAAAAATTATTTGAGAGCCATAAAACAAATGAAATCACCATTATGTGAATAATGTTCTTTAAAAATTTTATAGGGCCAGCCGAGTGGTGCATTGGTTAGGAGTTGGCTTGGAACGCCAGCTCTGAGCAGTGCAGCCCCGAGGGCCAGTGACGCTGTGCCCTCTATAGCTAAGATGATGAACAACAGCTCTACCTGGAGCTGGACTGCCGTGAGTTGCCGGCCTCCACGTAGCCTGGAGTGGGGCTAGCTGGCAGTGGGCGTGAGCCACCATAAGCGGCCGTCCAAGGGCCGGCAAGCGACTACCTCACCCGGGAAGAGCACAATGATAATACCAACATGGACCAGTGAAGCGACATCCTTCACAACTAGACTGAAGAAAAATTTTATAAATGAAACTATGATAATTTTATTTTCATTTTCAATTTTACTTCCGAGCCACATGTACGTACCCAAAGAGCAGCACATGGCTCGCGAGTGGCTGTTTCCTGACCCCTGCTCAGGATAATGCCCAGAGGTGGAATTGCTGGGTCATATAATAGTTGCGTTTCTAATTTTTTGAGGAAGTTCCATATTGTTTTTAGCTACACCACTTTTTACATAAATATGATTGTTGTATCTTCCTGTTGAATTTACTTTATTATCATTATGTAATGGCCTTCTTTGTTTTCTGACATGTTTTGACACTGTGTATTTGTCTGATATCATTATGGGCAACTGTGCCCTTTATTGGTGACCATTTCTATGGAATACATTTTGCATTGTCTGACTTTGTCCAGTGAGTGTCCCCGCATCTCACATGAGTATCTTGTATAAAGAAGGTAGTTGGATTTTTTTTTTTATCTATTCAGGGAGTTTCATGTGTTTTCATTTAAAGTAATCACTGAGTCAGAGGGAATACTATAACTATTTTTGAATTGTTTTCTGCCCTTTGTGTAACTATTTTGTTCCACGTTCCCACCTCTGAACTGTGTTCTGATGTTTCTTTGATTTCTGTTGGTAGTTGCATGCTTTGATATTTTTCTCAATTTCTTTCAGTGTGTTTGTTATAGGTAGTTTATTGTAGTTACCATAGAGGTAACTTAAAACATTTTTTTGTTTGATTGTTTGTTTTTAGCTGAGCCATCCTGCCACCTGTTGTTAGCTCAGCAGCAGCTCAGCTCGGGCCAGGAATCGAACCGATGTTGCTCAGAGCTCAAACTCTTGAGCGAGCTCTTAACCAACTGAGCCACTCGGCCAGCCCCAAAACATTTTTTTTTAATTGGGGAATTGGGGGTGGGGAACAGTGTTGGGGAATTGGGGAAGGAGTCAATCCGTGTTGTTGTTCTTCAGTCTTAGTTGTGGTAGGCATCAGTCGCCATCTGGCTCCCCGTCGGCTGCTCGTGGCTTCTAAGCTCAAGGTGCGGAGTTCATTCTTAGTTGCAGGTGGGCATAGCCACCATCCCATGCGGGAGTCAAACCTGGCAGTCTGTTGTTAAGAGTGCACGCTCTATCCACTGAGCCATCTGGGTGGCAGCTCAGCTCAAGGTGCCGAGTTCAATCTTAGTTGCGGGCAGACGTAGTCCACCATCGAACACGCAGTCTTATTGTTAGGAACACGTGCTCTCACCAGCTAAGCCATCCTGCCACCTGTTGGCAGCTCGGGGGCAGCTCAGCGTCACTAGCCCATATGGAAATTGAACTGGCGACTCTGTTGCTCAGAGCTCGCACACTTGAGCAGGCTCTTAACCAACTGAGCTACTCAGTTGGCCCAAAACATTTTTAAAGCTATGACAGTGTATTTTGAGTTCTTGGTTAGGTAATTAATAGCGCTATTAGTTTTGGGCTTATTTCTCAAGAATTAGTTTTTCCTCTGATTGGACCATGTTTTTCTGTTCTTTTGTATGTCTTGTGATGTTTTGTTGAGATTTGGGAGAAGAAGCAGCCTCCATCCCAAGCTGTGTGGACCCGCTTTGTACTAGAGAACACACATAGCAGGCAGCTGAGCTTGAAGTTCTTATGCCTATCAAACCAGTTCTACGAATGTGTATTCTCTGTGTCTTTTGCACGTAATTTTCCGGTTTGAAATGTTTTTGTTTTCTCTTTAGGGGCAATGTTATATTCCTATCCGTGATGATTGTCTTCAGTACTGTGCTCTTTGTGGTGTTTGAACAATTACTTAACCATTTTTCTTAGTGGCCACCACAATGCATTCACATTGCACTGCCATTTCCTTAGCACTTGGTGTCATGCAGAAAATAAACGAGACCTTTGGGCAGCTGCAAAAAGTGAGTCCATTGGACACAAAGTTCACTCATCTTTTTCCCTCCAGAGAAGAAACTGTCAATTGGGGTTTTCTCACAACATTGCCATGTGTGCCAGGGAGGGTGCACAGTAATGTTGGCAAATGTAAACAACTTTTCTTCCCTCTTTAATGTGACTCTTTCATGTGGTTTGCTTTCTTCAACATGGCTTCTGAGTACTCAGCAAGGTAATTGGACAGTAATTGTTGCTAAGTTTCTGTCTCCATGGAGAATGGCAGTTTTGGTTTTTCCTCTTATGCCATCTTGTTCAGTCCTGTAATCAGTATTAAACTTGTATGTTAGAATTGAAAGTATATTCAGTTGCGTATAGTAAGAGTGATAATTTTTGGGTGTCTTTCAGCTATGTCTTCTGAGGACAGCTTGGACTTGTTGCCAAACTCAGGAATAGAAGATTCATTCCACAAAATGCTACTGGTAAGATATGGAAGGTGCAGCCTTGACAATCTGCACTTAATGAAAGAGTGGGAATATGAGGGGAGTGTGAAGGGCTGAAGGATGTTATCATGGACATAACCAAACTGGGACAGCTACTCAGTAAAATCCCCATTGCTAAAGAGATCAAATATATAAGAAATGTGAAATCCTGCGTGTTACGGCAGTTTCGTTAGCAGAACACTTATTTCTGAATATAAAGATAGAAAACAGTTTATTAAAGATATATATTCTTTGAAAGGAAATGTGGAATATATGGGAAGTTATGTATTCATGGTGTAATAATCATTTGAATTATTTAAAATGTAGGAGTAGATTAAACACAAGCATTTAAAAGTCAGAGATTTAAAAATGAAGATCGAAATTCCAAATGTGATCAATTTTACAATCGCTTAACCAGGCTTTCATTATTCTTTCACCAAGAAACAATCCCTCTTTGTTCCAAATACTGTAATTTTCATAAATGTGGGAGGGTATTTATAGAAGCATCATGTTTCCATAGGTATCATGTTTAATGGTGAAAAAACTTTACCTGTTTAATGACATTACAGTCCTCACTGAAGGCCTTTCTGTCTTTGTTGATTTCCAGAGTACGTGTAATAATGAGAGAAGTTATCAATTCAGTAAATCTGGGAAAAACTTTAAACAAGGGTCAGATCCTAATAAGCATCAGAGATTTCAGTTTCCAGAGAACCAGCGTACACATGGGAAAGACTTTCATGAAAGCTCAAGTCGTACACATTGGAATAGTTACATTGCAGAGAAGTCAAACAAATGCAGTGAATATGACAAGTCTTTGAACGAATCTTTGTATCTTACTGAACATGAGAATATTCATCCTGGGGAGGAACCTAATAGATGTGTTCCGTGTGGGAGAGTCTTTAGTCGATTATCCAGTCTCAACAGACATAGGAAAATCCATAGTGGAGTGAAGGCTTACAAATGTAGAGAATGTGGTAAAGCCTTTAATTGGCATTCACAACTTACTAGACATGAATTAACCCATACTGAAGAGAAGCCTTACAAATGTAGAGAATGTGGTAAAGCCTTTAAAATGCGCTCATATCTTACTACACATGAGTTTATCCATAGTGGAGACAAGCCTTACGCATGTAGAGAATGTGGTAAAGCCTTTAGCAGGCATTCAGATCTTACTAGACATGAGTTAATCCATAGTGGAGAGAAGCCTCACAAATGTACAGGCTGCGGTAAAGCCTTTAATTGGCATTCACAACTTACTAGGCATGAGTTAACCCATACTGAAGAGAAGCCGTACAAATGTAGAGAATGTGGTAAAGCCTTTAAAATGCGCTCATATCT